TTCGATGTTTAATATAACCTGACAGATAAAGTGGAGTGTAATGAATAAATTATTTTAAACCTATTTCTATTTCTTTGTTTGAAATGAAAACATGGCCTTGAGTATGTTTTTTCAAGAGAAAGGAAAGACGCTTTGATTAGGAATTCTCTGTGCTCGTAGTTTTTGGTGGGGGGAGAAACCAAACCATTGCCTGAAAGGCTGTGGAGTGTTTCTGGGAGCCTTCAGTGCGTGGGCGACTTCGACTTCTCCAGCTTGTGTAGGTTGGTTCAGCCTAGAAGACACAGGGATAATTGCACGGGGTGGAAACAGTTGCACTTCAGGTGTTGTTTCTGTTCTCCTGTTCACTCGCTGCAGCACCAGGGCTGTCATCCTGCAGGCCTCCCTTTGCAGGTTTGCAGGACCGTGATTCTGGCCCGAAGCTTGACAAACTCCCCAGGATCCTTCTGAGATGGGAAATGAGATCCACCTGCTCGTGTTCCAATAAGGATTCATTCTCAAAGGCCATTTTCCTCAATATGGTTTAATAGAGTGGATTTTGTATCCCTAAGGAAAACAGACTTCCAAGTTTCACGGGCTTACTAAACTACAGATATACAGCTACTGCTTTAAATGAAATCATCTCTCCTCAAAGGCTTTGGTTCTCACCAGGGGAGGTTCCGCCTCAGGGTGCATTTGGCAGTGTCCAGAGACCTTTTTTGTTGTCACAACTGGGCAGAGATGGGGAAGTGCTGTTGGCAGGGCTGCTGCCAAGCCTGATGCAGTGCCTGGGATGAGCCCCACACTGACTGACCAGCCTCAAACGTCCACAGTGTTGGGGTGTCTCCACTTCAGCCACAGAGGCCCTTGCTGCTCAGAGGCTGCCACCCACCATGCAGCCCATCTGTGTGGAGGTGTGGGTCCAAGCCATTTTCTGTGGCTGAGCATCCCTGCGGACGGTATAAGGTGCCAGACCCTCTCACAACTAAAAATCATGAGGCTAAAGACCAATTCCGAAAGCTCCTTGCATGCTGCCCCTTGGACAAGCATTAGAAAATGGAGGTGCTTCTGCCCTCCAGTGGGACTGGGTGGCTGACAACTCCACTTGAACCATTTCCGTGGCAGCCAGTGGCACAGGGAATGAAAGGGAAAACCCTTAACGAGTTTCCTGATGGATTAGTGCTTTATTATTTTAATGAGTCACCATTAATTACCTTTGTATCTCAGAAATTTAGAAAGTAACTTTTGATTTGGGGGAAATATAAAAATTACATTTCAGTTCAAAAGGCCAGACCTCAAAACACAGTTAAAATATATTTTATTGCGTGCTGCTTTGCTGCCTTTGGGACCTTCTGGGGCTGTACCTAGAAGGCAGCAAAGATGACAGCATCGCCCTTTCCCAGCAGTCACTTGGATGACGTGGTGGCAGGAATGGGGTCAGAACTGCCCCAGCCCTATTTGGCCACTCCTCACTGAGCTAGAACCTTGTGGGAAGCAGATAAACAGCGGAGTGTGGCTGGCATATAAAAATGTGATGATTTCCCAGGCTGGTGCTAAGATCCTTTCTCCTCTCAGTGTAAGGGTGTCCCTGCCCAATTAAAGGGTTCCTTTTGGCCCTTTTCTCCCCCATAGCAGTGGGGGCTGCAGGTGAATAAGGGGAGGGAGGCTGCTGGGCAGAGGGCTGGAGAGGAGCGCTCTTCCCTGGTGGGCCCAGGGAGGTGCTGACTTGTGTCCTGCTCTGTCCAATGCAGCATGTGCTGAAGCCTTTTTACTTGTGCAGATAACATGTAATACCTGCTCATTATGAAACACTGACCGAACGTAAAGTATGTTATAGTGAACCCTGTAGCTTACCGTTTTCCTTCCTCCTTTTAATAGTTGTGTGCATTTTGTCTTTTAAAAAAATACAAGTAATTTCTATTCTAAAAGGTTCCAAGAGAACAGAAGTTTTAAAAGAAATAGATATGACACTTTCTTACCACCCCACACCCCTGTCACCTCCCTAGTCAGAGAAAGCAGTCCTTAGCAGTCCTGTGTTCTTCTTTCAGCACCATTTATAGGACCTTTCACTCAGCATGTTTCTGCTGAGTCCTCATTTCATTCAGCTTAAGTGCTGGGCATGTGGTGCTTTACACACAAAACAGGATATTATATGTGAGATTCTAAGACTTACATTTTTAAAATCATGACAAGCCTCTGACATCTCTCCATGTCAGTGCATATAAATAACCTTGCATGGTGTTCCATAACGTGGGTGTATGGGCCACCTTTGCTTAATGATCCCTTCATATTGGATATATTAGGATCCAAGATTGGTTGTGATAGTCCCTGTGGACCGTCTGGGACTGCTGTGGCATCGTCATGACATGGGGCCCAGGCCCCTTCCATCACACAGCTCTGTTGTCCCCCTGCTTATGTCTTCTGCCATGTTCACTCCTCCCGGGAAGGGAAAGAAGGCAGAAAGAGGGCAGCACTTATAATTTAGACACATTTCTGATCATGTCCCATTGGCCAGAATTGGGCTGCAAGATCAGACTTAGGTGCAAAGAAAACTGTGAACTGTTCTCAGCTAAACTTGCATTGAGGATGAAGAGGGGAAAAGTAGGTGTTAGACTGGCAGTCTTTTCCACAGTAGCATGTAGACAGCTTACAGGTTTTTACCAGTGAAAGTATTATACATCCTTTTATGTACATTTCTGTATACAAATGCAAGTATTTCTATAGGATGGACACCTAGAAGTCAAAGGTATGTACAGTAAAAATTTTAAGAAACACCCAAATTGCCTTCCAAAAATAGCTTCCTCAATTTATACTCGCACCAACAATAAGCCAGCACCCTGTTGAACATTGTGGTCATCATGGGGTATTATTCATACTTAAAATTTCTTTCCAGTTTGCTGGAGGAAGATAGGTAGATGGATGATTCTCATTGTAATTTGCATTTCCATGATTAATCAAGAGCGTGAAACTTTCATAGTTGATCATTCATGTTTCTTCCGTGAATTGCCTGTGTGAAGCTTTTGCCTATTGTATATTGTTTTTGTTGTTTTGTCTTTGTTGATCTGCAGCAGAAGCTTATATACACACACACATTCTAAATATAAAGCCTATGTCACATATGTTGTATCTACTTTATTCTTAAATTGCTTGTCACAGGTATGTGTTTTTATCAGAATTATATAATTTTTACATTGCTCTGTTTTTCTTTAACGTTTCTAGGTTCTATATGTTTAAGAAGGCCTTTCTTACACCAAAATAAATTTTTAAATCTTTTATTCTGCTTTTGTATTTAGTTTTAAAATCTGTCCTGATTGTGTGTGGAATCTCAGATGAGATGGCAATATTGAATGGTTAGTTGGATTTTACAAGTATCACTTGTTGAATTGTTCATTCTTTCTTCACTGAGTTAAAATGCCACCTTCATTACAGTTATATATGTGGCTCTGTTTCTGGGCTTTCCCTCCTGTTGATTTGCTTGTCTCGCCTTCCCCAGTACCATCCTGTAATTACCATAGATTTATAGTGTATTTAATATCTGCTAGCGTGAGTCCTCACTCATTATTCCTTCTTTACAATTTTTTTTGTGTTGTGCTATTCTTATACCTTTCTCTTCAGCATTAACTTTAGAATCAGCTTGTCAGATTCCATTAAGGAAACCCCTGATGGTATTTTGATTGGGCACTGCCTTTATAGATTCATTAGGGAAGAACTGCCGTCTTTAGAATCCTTCTGTGAGAGTTTACTTAGAGAGAGCATATCCAAGCGTTCTCTTACTCGTGCAGTGACGAAGAACAAGACACCAGGTGATGGCAGTTTAGCAAGGTGAAATGGCACAGTGTAAGCAGAGGGTGGTCCCCTCGTGATAGAGATGTCTGCAGCTCCACCACACCTGTGCTGTTGGCACATCCTCCCCTGTCTGGGATGGGACTTGCATCTGGTGACGTGTGTGCATATCAAGAAGGCCTCTGCCGCCACGACCTTGATGACAGTCTTCTCCAGGCCTGGTTTGGTCTTTCTGTCTTCTGTTCCTTTTCCCCTTTGCATTAGAAACAATCCTCTTGGCAATACCAGAGGCAATGTTTGTGGCTTAGCTTTGAGGAAACAGTCACCTTTACTGTAAGTGCACAGAATTGATTTCTGCTAGAGTGTCACTACTTAAACTATTGGTGCCTGAGGAAGGATAAATAAGTGATGGCGTTCTATGCAGAAGAATTGCTTAAAAATGTTACCTTTGAGTGAGGATTTTAGTCATTTCTCTGGTGAGATGAGGACCATTCCTCTCTATGTTTACCAGTAATAGCTGGAGTGTTTTCAAGTACTGAAGAGTACAGTGTGTCCAGAAAAATATTTCACTTGCAGATTCATGCTAATATGTTATTGTTCTGTGATTTGGAAAAAAAATTACGGAGCCAAATCTATTTGTACTCCTCCAATGTGATCTAAATCGTCTAGAGGATAAAGTGCTTATGGGTAGCTCTGAAATTAAAGGGGCAACAGGGAAAACATGCACATTTGAGGACCCGATCAACTTTTCTGAGCTCATCTTCTTTATAATCGAGGAGCGTGTTCTGCTGTATAAGCCCAGAGAAGTTACGGAGCAAATGGTGAGCAGGAACGGTGTGAAGTAGCATGCGTAGCCTTGGGGTTTATAAGAGAAACAAGCTGTGGTTTGGCTGCAAGCGGGTGGGAGAGCAAGGGTGGGTGTGAAGGCCTTGTTGTGGGATACGTGGAGGGGAATCCCTCAGTGGAGTGAGTGCGCTCCCAGGGGGCAGCGAGAGCTGAACAGGGGAGGAGAGGAGCTCGGGATTGAACTGTGCCACCGCCCGGTTCTACCTGATGAAACAGCGAGTGGGCAGATGGTGGGGAGGTTAGTTTGCTGCTGTTCACAGTGGGTAGAGATGGCAGCTCAGGAACGCTCTGTGCAGCGGGCCCCGTGCATGGGACCCTCTTGGAGGAGCAGGTGCTGGTGAGCAGGCAGAGTTCGCCAGGTGTGAGTCACAAACATGCACTGTTTTCTTTTCCAGAACTACACTCAGTACATCCCCCTGTCTATATATGACCTGCAGACATGGATGGGCAGCCCCTCCATATTCGTCTACGACTGCTCCAACGCTGGTCTCATTGTCAAGTCCTTCAAACAGTTCGCCCTGCAGAGGGAGCAGGAGCTGGAGGTGAGGCCCTGAACACACTGGGCGGTGGGGGTGGCCATGGGGGACTGTTGGCCTGGAGCTGTGGTTTTGTTTCTTTGGGTGGGGCAGGCTCAGAGTGCTCAGCGCAGGGTGGTGGGGTCCATGACAAAGAACTTGGAAAGGACAAGCTCTTGGGCTTATTTTTACACCTCGTTTTACCGAGCGTCATTTTTAATCCAAATTTTAATTAAGCGATAAAATTAATAGAGTTGAATTGTGCTTCAGTGGGCTCTGCCTTCGAGATAAATGTGAAAATAAAGCAGACACATTTATTTTCAGAGAAATGGACCTGTGTCCGGGCACAGTCTTCAGTTCCACCCGCATCTTAGTTATTGCCCTCATTTTTTTGTCTTTTGTGTTGGAAAAAAACCCCTACTACGCTAAATACAGAAAACAAAGCTACAGCTGCCGTTGGTGCCTTCCATTTAAAGAACTGGAGAGCCTGTGTAGTGCTCTGATCGTGAAGAAACGTTTTACTTGGTTGTTTTAATTAATATCTGATGTTTGAATTAAACAGTGACTTCTAAAGAGAAATTGAAGAGGCACTTTCAGTTAAGAGGCCTCCATCCTATGGCCTGCACAAGAGTGAGAATAAAATATTCTGCAGCCTCCAGGGGGTCATGAATTCCAACTGGTTGCAGTGCAGGAAATTCTCAATTCAGGAACAGAAATGGCACTGAGTACATGTTTCCTCAAGCCTTTTTGGGTCTATCCAATTTTAATGTATTGTTATGTTTTTCACATTTCATCAGAGGATATTGCTGAAATAATCAGCAATAAAATTTGAAATTCTACTTGGGAGAACTTAACATGTCATACAGTTAATTTATAAATATTTTATAAATTAAAATATTTATAAATTAAGCCCTTATGCAGAACTTTGCACCAGAGTGACTGATAAATTACCCTTTATCCCAGTGCAACAAGTTGTTATTGTTATTATTATTATTTGCATTCTAGAATAAGAGAAGGGAAAGGTCAAGTTTTATATCATTAAATTTTTACCTTGCTTTTAGGCATTTCATCTAAGTTTATCTAAGGGATACGTTATCTTATGAGTGCTAAAAACTCAAAGCACCAAGAGGTAATTGCTTTTCCTCGCATCCAGTAATAAATCTTGAAAAAACATTTTTTTTTCTTTTCCATTTAAAATGTGTAAATAAAAATGCCAAAGAATCCAGCCTGATATTTATCCCAAACTTATGAGCTTCAGGGTGATTAAGAAAAGACCAATACATCAGCCTTTGTTAATTAAAACATGTTAAATAGGGCTTCGCTGGTGGCGCAGTGGTTGAGAGTCCGTCTGCTCATGCAGGGGACACGGGGTTAGTGTCCCGGTCCGGGAAGATCCCACATGCCGCAGAGCAGCTGGGCCCGTGAGCCATGGCCACTGAGCCTGCGCGTCCAGAGCCTGTGCTCCGCAACGGGAGAGGCCACAATAGTGAGAGGCCCACGTACTTCAAAAAAAACCAAAAAACAAAAAAAACATGTTAAATATAGTCCCTCTCCCACCCTTCTCAGCAGAAGACAAGCATTTCCCTCTTACGCTCTAGCACTTGGAGTATCTGCTCTGTCGGTTCTGTAAGTGTTCTCTGTATGTTGCCAAGGTTTAATCAGCCTAAGAAACTGTTCATTTCATTGAATGCGACAAAAAAGTTTTCCATGCATCTTTTTGGGGTGAGGAGGGAAATGTTTAATTGACTAATTCCTCATGGAGGAGAATAAATGAAAAATATGTTATCTGAAGTGGCAAATAGATGGCTATGTAAAGTTATACCATATGTTTTATAATTAGATCTGACTTTTATCTTCATTCTTTTCTTAATTACAGTGCAGATAAGTCTTAAGGTTTTCCATTACACTTACTATTATTGGCTGTTGTTCAGCTGGTCTCTTGCATCAACAGCGGAAATTAAAATGATAAAATTGGCTCCCAGCTAATATCTTAATGTTCATGTTAGTCATTTTTTTATCTGCTGTAGAAACAGAAATCCTGTGTGGCCTCTTAGGTTTATTCTTTTAAAAAATTCTTTCCCTGTCTACAGTTGGCCAGATTCTTTGTAAATTTATGATACATTTTAACACTTTTATTGGGTAGATGATAACATGAAACTGAAAGAAACTGGCGGGTAAAATGGTTTGTGCCAGAGTTTAAAAAATAAAGAGGGTAAAAATGATTAAATATAATGCAAGAAAATAGTTACCTGGACCAGAAAGCCTCCAAGTAATAAACATTAACACAAATATGAGTGACATAAATTTTAAGAGAGGATTATCAGCTTTCATATTCTTGGATTTCCATCTCAAAGGAATACTACAGGTGAAGTAGAAGATGCCTCCATGAAAGCATGGCATAAATTACTGCACACAATTGAAACTTCATCATAGCCAGGAAAAATGCATGTCTGTCCCTCAGTAATGGTCTCTGCATTTTTCCTTGTGTCATATTGCTTTGTAATTTGAAAACTAAGGAAAGTCTTCAATTCTCTCTGCTTTCCATGTTTTTTTTTAAGATAAATTTTGTGTGTGTGTGTGGGGGGGACGTGGACCTCTCACCGTTGTGGCCTCTTCCGTTGCGGAGCATAGGCTCCGGATGCACAGGCTCAGCGGCCATGGCTCACGGGCCCAGCCGCTCTGCGGCATGTGGGATCCTCCCAGACCGGGGCACAAACCCGTGTCCCCTGCATCAGCAGGCGGACTCTCAGCCACTGCGCCACCAGGGAAGCCCTAAGATAAATATTTTTATTTTTACTATATTAGTATACGCCATGATTTTAAAAATTAAATAGTACCAAGGGTTTATAATGAATGAAATATGCCCTGGCCCACACCTCCTTGGCCAAGATTCTGCTACTATAGGGAACCTATTTTAACTGTTTATATTTCTAGTTCCTCTATGAGTATCTCTATAAATGTAAATAATATGCTTATACTACTACTGCTTGATTCATAAATTTTAGGTTATCAGGCTTTCTGGTACTGTATAAACCAAAAACAGAGTTGCCATTAGTAAATTCTATTTAAAGAATTGGAGAAATTATATAGAACTTTGATAGTAAAGAGACATGTTACATAGTTTTAAGTCGTATTTGTTGTTTGTATTAAATTGTGAATTCTAAAGAGAAATTGAAGAGGGTGAGTCACTAACTGCCCCCTCCTGTTTCCCCACTGCAATTTAGTTGCGTCACTACATTTGGATTCCCTATACTTTGTAACCTTTGCAATTTGAAATAATACCCTGACGTTTTTATTTCTAGTTTCGTCAGTAATCAGTACTATCCTCTGGCTTTAGGTTCTTAGCTTCCTTGGATTTTATTTTACTTCTGGACCCTTCCAGCTTCTGTCATCTGCACTTTTATGATTATTCTCTAGTCTCTGACCATAATTAAGTCCCCACCCATGCTTTGTGTATGAGTTGATTCTAAAATATGACAAATATTAAACTTCAACTCCCTGATTATGACCATGTAAATATTGTTCATTGAATGGCTAAATAGGGTGCTATGCTTTCCATTTTTATAACAGTTTTTGTTTCTTTGATTTTCCTGAAGATTTTCTTTTTTCTTATTGAATTAGATCTTTAACATTTCCTCAGTTCCTAAATTTGCAAGGGTAGTATTGCATCTCAGAATATGCCTCTTCCCAAAGTTTCTTCTTTCCCAGCTCTCCACTGCCTGCTTCAATCGGCTGTTCTAAACGGGCCTGCTCCAAAGCTGTCATCCTGGGATTTCTCCTTATCACTCTCCTGGAAGCATCCACTGTTTTCTAGATCCCACCTCTGTCTCTTTCTCAGTTTTCTCCTTTGTTCTGCTAGGGCAAGTCCTCAAATAACAACCTAAGAACTGATGTATGGGAGTAATTTTTCTCAGGCTTTAAGTGTTTGCATTTGGACTGCTTTTAGCTGAAAGTAATGAAAAATCTCACTATTGCTTTCTAAACAAGTAACAGTTTGTCATTTTTGCTAAGATCTCTGAGGCAAATGATTTAATTATTCAGCAGTACCATTAGGGACCCAGGCTGTTTTTAATCTTTACACTCTGATGTTTTATCTTGATGGTTACAGTACATCCTTCCACATTGAGCCTGGATGAGGTGGGGACAGGGCAGAGCTATCACATTTGTCTCTTGTTAGGAAAGCAAGTGCAGACTTCCCCTTATATCTCATTAGCTAAAGCTGGGTCGTATGCGATGTGCCCCACCCCTCATAGTTGGGGGTGTGTGGCAAAAGGGAGTGGAGTTGGGATGAGTACTGGACTGTCTGACAGTGAGTGTCAGCTATATTGCATGTGTTATTGTCTTCATTTTGTCCACATGCATTTATGGACAGTTTGGGTATGGAGTTTTAGGCTGTTTTCACTAAACTATATCACCCTTACTTCTTGCGATAGATGAGAAGGTGGCCTTGTTGTAGCCATAACCAAGAATTCATGATAAAAGCCAGAGAAGGAGTATTTATATCCACAGTACACAGTATATATGTTGAGAGAGAAAGAGAAAAAGAGAATTCAGATTTCTTTTTTTTTTTGCAACAACTTTTATCTTGGATATAAAATCTTTGTAACTAGAAGAGGAGACTAAATCTTCAGTGGATTCTCTTTGAAATAGTCTTTATTAAGTTTTATCCATTAGTTCTACTTCCATTGGATATTTCCCACGGGCAGTTATGATTCTTCTCTTCACTGAAGACAGCAATGAAGCAGGGGTCAAATCTCGGCCTTTTCCTCTCTTTCTGTGGAGGCAGGGAGGTGAGTTGGTGTCTGGTGGTGGGAACAGGATTGCCTTTCTTTTACGGAGACTGATGGGGCTGAGCTGTATCCCAGTAAGACTTGATCCTCAGCACGATCATCCTCGTTGGTGTAGGATGGGAGCCCAGATAAGTTTCTCGGTGGCAGCCACAGTGGTGGTGGGACAATGTCTTCCCCCAAGGATGGTCGACATGCTTTGGGGGAGTCTGTTTTTGAGGTTCAGGCCATCACTCTGGT